ATTTCTATATAGCTCCATCGGTCATGTAGTATACACAGGCATTGACTTCAGTCATAATTGATTATGTTTGTACTTACATTACTTTTGAATTTACTTTTCTCCAGTCATGTATTTGTGTTGTTAATGGTTGTACAGATTATTTCATGTCACTTGTCCTTGCTCAATCAGCCATTCTGCAGCCGTTGCACAGACTGTTTTCAGGGCTTTGATCTTACAAATGCCAGTTTTACAAAAGTATTTATGTGGAGCTTGTACTCATTAAGATAAGTTTCCAATAGTTGGGGGGGAAGCTATGACTCTTTTTAGGTTCTTGTTATATGTTGCTTGAAAGTGCATCAGTTTTGATGCCACTGACATCTTGGAGTCCATGAATATCTTGCTGGTTCTTCCAGCCTCTTCCTTGATTGTTGTGGCTAGTACTCTATAATTTTGAAAGAGTTCAGCTAGTATTGCTTACTTTCCTCCTGTATACAAAGAAGTCTTCTGCAAGTAAATATTTTAAAGATAAAGTATTGCTAACTCTTGGTTAAGCTAAAATGAAACACATTTTTATAAACTTTCTAGTATTTAAAAATAACAAAAATAATAAAATACTTCCCTTACTTTTCTTTCTTATTTCACTCACCCCCATATGTAGTACAGTTCCCTTTTCCTTTGTTGTGATAAAGATGTTTTTTAGTATCTCCAAACAACTAAGGCAATACTGAAGACTTTAAAAATGTAAGCATCCCACTTTCCACTGAACGTTAGTATAAATGTCCACCAGTGTTTATTTGTCTGTTACCTTCACTCTATGAATTTAAATAAGAATTAGTTTATATAAAAAGTAGAATACATTTAAAAAGAGAGTGGGAAATTAATGTGACTTTTGCCTTAGGCAAAGAGTTTAAAAATTAAGACCCTAGAGTAAATTGTGGCAATATAGACTTAAACAATGTTTTATTCTTATCTTGAAATTTTCAAAGTACGCAGTAGGTGCTTAATAGGTTCTCATTTTTATTCTTGTACTGTTCTCTGATGTTTACCTTTGTCAGCTGTTGTCAATCAATCTCTCCCACAGATCACAGAGCACCGTTAAGATTTTACAGAGTGCTAGGAGAATAGGTGCTTCAGCTTATCTACACTTGGTGAGCATAAACATACTGAACAAGTAGCACTGAACCCTGGGGACTGATAAATATCAGTGCTAAATAAATGGTAGCTCCAAATCTTACATAAACACTTACATGGCTTACTCCACGAAAAAGGACATAAAATTCACTTGGTGAATTCTTATTTTGTTCTTGTTCAGCTCTCAGGTTACTATGTAATAGATCTTCATGGTGCTTTAAAACAAAACAAAAACCAAATATTAAAAAATATGCAGTCCATGCCCTGGCTGGTGTTGCTCAGTTGGTTGGCACATTGTTGCATAACCAAAAAAACTGCAGGTTCAGTTCCCAGTGAGGGTGCGTGTCTAGGCTGGTGGTTCCGTCCTTGGTTCCCGGTGCAGGTGATCCCTGGTCTGGATGAGTATGCAGGCTTCCAGTCCATATCTCTCTCTGCCACTGACGTCTCTCTCTCTCTCCCTTTACCTCTCTCTGCAGAAGCAATGAAAAACTGTTCTTGGGTGAGGAGTTAAAAATACATCCTACTTACTACCTGAATTAGGAGTTGTCTGTGTCTCTGGGTCTCAGCAGAGCAGAGAAAAAGGTGGCAATCTAGAAAAACCTGGTGGGGCACATGATTCTGATATCTCCTCCCTGTCTGTGAAACCCAGAAGACATCTCCAAACTAGCTGGACCAGTTCTGCTTTCTGCTGTGGCTACTCGTTTGTCTTTATTATTGCCCCCTCCTTTCTTTAGGAAGCTTTTTTGCTGTTCATTTTTCAAGAACGTATTTGCACAAGGAATCTTAAATCTTCTCTGTCAGTTTCCTGAATGTCTCACTTAGCTCTTTCTAGGAGATAACATCTTACTTTTTAAGTGAGAGACCACGTGGACTGTTGGTGTCACTCATGCTTTATCAAGGGCCCTGTGGACAGAAAAGGGGATTCTGTAATACATCTGACTAATATCTGATAGGGCAATCTGATCATAGATTCCTAACTGGGCAGTCCTCTAAAGAGATTTATCTCTGCCTTAAGCACTCCCTGTCCATTGTTCTTGGGCATCTAGGCAAACACCTTTGAACCCCAGAGTAAACCTCCTTTTTTGAAGCCCACAAAGGTGAAACCACCCTCAAGGGAACACGTAATCTTGTTGATTATCCTGTAATCTCCCACTTTCATGTAATCTTCCTTCCATTCTCTCCTTAATTCCAAAGGTATGAAAGAAACTGCAACACTGTCATTCTCTGGAGCATTTGAGATCTTGCTTCCCAGCATATCATCAGTTTGGTTCAAATAAACTCATAAAAATCTCTACAGGTTTGGATGTTTCTTACTTTGGCGCATGGAGCAGTGAATCTGCTGCTGAAGGAAGGGCTGCCAGAAAGAAAACATACCAATTCATAATGACTATTTAATGAGTTATTATTTGTGAAATTGATACTGAGCCTGGCTGGCCTGCTGGAACAGACGGAGAGGGCAGGAAACAGGAGGGGCTACCAGTGGAAATTGTGAACCACTTGGGGCTCTGGTAAAGCAGTGGGCAAGGCCATACTGCCCAGGTAACCAAACTCATGCCTTGCAGACACTCTGCCCTGGTGGGGAGCATCACGCACCTGAGCGCAGATTCCCCCACCCCCGGGCAAGATAATGGCAGGAGGAAATGTTCCACTGAGCATGTGCAAAGCTAGTAAAATAAGTGGACAGGGGGAAAAGCCCTCCTACCCACCTCCAGTACTTGACTGGGGCTGGAACCAGGGGAAGGCAGCCACGGGTGCCATAGAGGTTAAAAATGGCAGCAGGAGGCGGTGCTGGACCAAAGAGGCTTATCAGCCAAACCTGGGAAAGAATGGATTGGTTGAGGTTGTGGATCCTCCCAGAATATGGAACTCTGGGAAGTTAGCTTCCCATTGTAAGAAAGCACATGGTCCATCCCATACCCGAAACTTATACAAACCCAGGGAAACAAAGAAAGTTTTCTCTTGCTTGTGGCTGCCGTTTGGGACCTGCACCCAGGGTGCAGGCTCAGTGTGGAGACCCATGGCCTCCATGAAGGAGTCTCTCTCATAGACTTAGAACACTTGCCAGTGCCTTCACCAGCTCCACTGCCCAGGAGCACAGGACCTTGCTGCTAGAAGGTGCACAGCCAGTGGTGGTGCCGGCTCCACATGCAGCCTCCAGGAGGGAGCCTAAAGCCAGAGAGCAGCTGGGAACAAGCTAAGCTACCTGGATGACTTCTTTGCTGCCTGGGCCTCCAAAGGACGGTACTCTAAAATAGAGCAGGAATTCTGGGCACTGCCTTTGGTTTTGGTCTTGCTGGGGACAGGGGGGTTTTGACTGTGTTTTGTGGAAGAGATGAGCCTGATGAGCCTGGAGATGAGGAGTCCCCCATCCTCTCAGGTTGTTGAGCATTTGAATAAAAACCTCTTTCCTTTCTCACCAGCCTCTGCCTCTAGAGTTTGCCTTTTGATGGCAATGCACAGCCAAATCCCACTTTGGTTCAACAACAAAATGATTAGAATCGTGGCTGCCAACATAATAAGTATTAGATGAAAGTAAAACATATCAATTTAGAAAAGACAAGTGGGCGGCTAGAATCTTGATTACAAAGAGGCTTTATAGATACTACACTAGGTTAAATAATGTCCCTCCAAAATTCATATCTGCCCAGAACCTCAACATATGATCTTATATGAAATAAGGGTCTTTGCAGATGTAATGAGGGTAAGGATTGAGATGAAATCATACCTGATTAGGGGAGGCCCTAAATCCCATGGGAACTTTAAAAGAGAGAAAAGGAGAAACACACGGAGACAGGGCTGTGTAGGTGGAAGCAGAGACTGGAGTGATGCTTCAACAGCCAAGGAATGCCAAGAATTGCTGGCAAACACCAGCAGCTAAGTGGTTGAGCTACAAGCATGAAATGATATTTTCCTCAGAGCCTCCAGGAAGAAGTAACCCTGCAAATTCCTTGATTTTGGACTTTGGCCTACAGAACTGTGAGAAAATAAATTTCTGTTGTTTTAAGTCACCCAGTTTGCAGTCATTCCTTGTGATGGCCCTAGAAATCGAATACGGATTTCTGGCATAAGGTTAGACAAATTCTTTGCTAGGTCACAGAAGATTACAAACACGTTTTGCTGTAGAAGAATGGGTTGAAAGAGTATATTATTCTACAAATATCCTTGTGATCTTAATCCAAAGAGACTTGTATATGCAAAGGATATCAATGCAGTGAACATATATACCAGTCTAACAATAGGTGCATTTTGGGTTTTTGGCCAACCCACACATTTCTCTGAAAACTGAAAACTACCATCTTCTATTTTTAAATCCCCCACCCAAGAACATGTTCATTGCTTTGAGAAAGAGAGCAAAACACCAATTGTTGCCTCTTGTACTTGACCCACACAGGATCAAACCTACAGCCTAGGCATGTGCCCTGACTGGGAATCAAATCTGCGACCTTTATGTTCCAACCAACAGAGCCACCCAGTTGGGGTGACTGAAAACTACAATACCTTCTTGAACCATGACAGTGATATCTATAATGTGAAACCTTGCCTTCCTCCCATAGCCATAGCTGTTTTTCCTTAGGGGCAAGGGACCCTTGAGTTCTTAGACTAATTACCATATGGTACCATGTATAATGTGCACTTTTTTTGCCTCAATTTTTGAGGGAAAAATAAGGATGCACATTATACATGTGTATAATGATTACATGCCATGGGTATAATAATAGGTATAATAATCTTGCATAATGCATGCAAAAACAGGGGTGTGCATTATACATGGGAGCACATTATACATGGCAAAGTAGGGTAAGTCTCAGAGCACTTTGGAATTGGGATCCAAAGCCAGTGGTCAGTTTTTGCCAGCTACCTAAATTAAGAACATATCAAGTTGAGAGGTCTCAGTTGACCATGAGCTTACCAGACAGAGAACCTGCAAAGAGAAAAAGAAAGAAGCAGATACACAGAATCAGATGAAAGACTTACATAGCGCTAGAGAACAAAGGACCATGAGATTATCTGCCTTTGTCTCTAATTCAGATCACTGAGGATCATCATAACAGATTCTTTACCACTGAGAAGCAATTGGGGTGATGTGGTTAAGAGTGGGGGCTCTGGAGCCAGACTGCCTTATCCGTGGTACTTGACCTCTCAATTTCTTCACTGTGTTTGGGACTAGTAATGGCATACTGATCAAAGTGTTGCTCCTTGGATTATACAAGTATTCTGGATGAGTACAGGTAAATCAAGTGCATTAATGTGGAGTGCACATCCAAGGCACTGGTGGTAATCCGAAGTGCATTTTACTAAAAGGAAACAAACTAAAACCCAGGATATCCTTGGGCCCAAAGATAACTGTAGCAACTTGCAGAGAACTAAAGACTGGTCCTTCAAACACTGACATCTCTGTAAGGATAATGGGATGAACATTACTGTGCTGATGGTTACAAAGAGCTCTATGAAGGAAAGATGCAAATCTGGTAAAAAAAAAATGTAGTGTGCAAATACCAGCATTTGAAGGTTAGCAGAAATTTGCCTTTCCCTATCCTGAGTCAGATGTTAAGAAAATAATATTGCTCTGTAAAAGTAATTATTTTCTTAAAGTTATTGTTGAAGAGTAAACAGAAGAGTGTAATAAACTCTCAAGGACCCCATTACCAGTCTCAACAATAACCAATTTTTTTCATTTTTCCCCATTTCTCTCCTCTTTCTTTTTTATAAAAGAATTTATATATATTTTTAGAGAGAGGGGAAGAAAGTGAGAAAGAGGGGGAGAGAAACACTGATGTGTAAGAGAAACATCGATCAGTTGCCTCTTGCACACCCCCAACTGGGGACCTGGCCTGCAACCCAGGCGTGTGTCCTGACAAGGGTCAGACCAGGGACATTGTATAGGCCAGCCTCAGTCCACTGAGCCACACCAGCCAGGGTGCTTCTCCTCTTTTTAATTTTATAATTTCACTTATAAATGTTTTAGCCTGTATCTAGGAAAAATAATAATAATAATTTTATACATAGCCATAATATAATCATCACACCTAAAAATAATTGATAATAATTCCTTAATATAATCAAATGTTCTATCAATGTTCAAATTTCACTGGTTGTCTCGTTTGTCTTTAAAAATTTTATTAATTTGTTTTAATTGGATCAAATGAAGGGCACACTGCTCTTTCCTCCTACATTGTTCAATATTCTTTTCTCATATTTCCTGTAGGTGGCAGTGGCAAGATCTATTTAATTTTGTATTCCTAGCATCTAAGTTAAGTCCACAAAATGGAAGGTACTCAATAAATACTTGTTTAATAGAGCTAATTTAGTCTGACTGAAGAAGCGCAAAATCTTGCAATTTTCTTTTCCGATGTTTAAGAAGCTATTTCTCTGCAGTGTTTCAAGAAATTTGTTTTCTGCTAATACTCCAGTGGATGAAGATTAAACAGAGACATTGAGAAATTATTTGCAAAGGCATAATAGCTCATGTATCATTCATGATTAAGGCAAATGCATCGATAATGATGACAATAACATCTGTGAGCTCTAGCACACCTCCATGCTGTTACTCGGTGGTCACAGCTCTAATGCTAACAAGCAAGACATTGAAGGGTATTCAGTGTCTGTGTGTTGCCCTTTTAATAGTGATATTCCTCTTTTTCAGCCTCAGTTTTGCCCCCAGGGGACCAAGGCAGAGAATGAATTAAAGTTATTCTCTGATACTCTTTCCAAACAGTTTTTAAACATTTGCTTTTGAGTCATCTGGGGAGTGCTAATTAAAATTATACTAGGATGCACTATACACACACCAGAATAGCTAAAATTAAATTGTTTATTTACAGTCTGTGACCGTTCTGTGTTAGAGTGTTGCTCATACGTTGATAACTGTGGTTTACTTCTCCTCCTTCTTCTCTAGGGGCATCTATACAAGTGCTATGGCCGTTCTCCTCTCCCCTCGCCCCCCTTCTTTTGTATTTCACATTATTGTCTGAGTTGGGGATTTCAGGATCATTTATTTGCAAGAGTTTCCTGTAGGTGAGAAGGGGTTAGCATAGCAATCCCAGCTCCGTGATTTTGGTTGTTTTTTTTTAATGCAGTATCCCTTTTCTGTAGTCATGAAGTCAACTGACCTTCTCCAATTTAGAGTTTATGATCCTTTATGAAGAAGACTTACCTTTTTGCATTTATGTATCTAATGGTTCCAGAAGCACCTTCTGCCAACCCAGCCCTACTCCTGGAACCCTCTTTAGTAGACAAAGGATATGGCTTATGCGCTAAAGAGATATTGCCCCATTTAGGAAGTAAGCATTTCAGTGTGTGTGCTTTATGATATCTACTAATACTGGGTTCTCTTTCCTTCCCTCTCTTTTTTTGTGTATCTTGGATGATAACTGTGTTTTGCATCTGAAGTCAGCAGTTTTAGTTCAGGAAGCCACAACCATGCTGCAGAGTGTTCTAAGAGGAACAGGATGTACAGGAAGAGTCCTAAAAGTGCCTGGATATCAGCCATGAACAGTCAATAATCACTTGTAAAATTATGGGGTCCCCTTATCCGTGAGAACTGCTGTGGCCAGAGAGGGCACGTGCAGCCCTGACTGGTGTGACTCAGTTTTTGTGGTCCCACAAACCAAAAAGTCACTGGTTGGACTCCTCCCCCTTGGGGCACAGCCCTGGGTTTCAGTCAGTCCTTGGTGGGGGAGGAGGCGGGAGTAGGGGAGGTGACTCATCAATTGTTTGGGCTCACATCAGTGTCTGTCTCCCTCCCTTCCTCCCTCTTCTTCTCTCTCTTTAAAACAAATAACATCTTTTTTTAGAAAAAAGAGCGCAGATGCACATGGAAAGCTTCAAGATAGGTTTAGAAGACTGCGTTTGGGTGAGAAGTCACACAGAGGTGACGGATTGAGGAAAAAAGCACATGTAAAGGAGAGGAAGGAGCACTAGAAAGTGGAGAACTGGAGCAGGAGCTCAACTCTCTCTGGTGAAGGTGGCTTCCTCACAAGAGGTGGTGAAGGATCCCAGGAGTTTGGAATCGATAGGAGCCTTTCTGAAGCATGTAAAGATCTGAAACTTAGGTGAGATTTGGTATCAGAAGTGGCCTGTATTATAGCAATAGAAGAGGGAGCTCTTGAGGTGAGAAAATGGGAAACCAACCCCTTCCCTTCAAAAGATCCTTCTTCTGGAGAATTTGAGATCTTACTCCCTGGAATATGTGGTCGGTTTGCCTCAACTAAACTCAAAAATAATTTTAAAAATTCTCCTTCTAATTGAGACAAATCTAACTCATTGAAATATGATTAGCAGAGTAATTACATAGCTAAAACAGCCAAATAATGTCACTCTAGGAATACAAAAGAGCAACTAAAGAACTAAAAATAGATATAAAACCTCCCTGTAGACTAAGAACACTCAATAGAAAAAAATTGCTCCAAAGCATAAGAAAACTGCAACACAACATTCTAACATGAATGAAAGGGAATAAAAGAATGATGCAATTGCAGCCAGGAAGGAAACCGATAAAAATAATCAGTACAAAAACTCAGGGGAGACGTGGCCAAAAAAGGGAAGGCGAGCAAGAGTCAGCCAGAAGGGGGTGTGACATGGTGACTAGTGAAACTTAGGAAAGAAATAGAAGGAACAGACGATTATTTTGTAAGGAAAACTAAGTTATAAATAAACTCATTTTATAAATAAAGGCTAGGTTAAGAGGAGCAAAAAGGGAAATAAATAATATAGAAGGCAGAGCAAGACATAGAGCATACACCCAGGATAAGTGAAGAAAGTGAAGAGGAATGAACATAAATATATATATTTTTAATAGAGCATGAAAGATGAAAAAGATAGAAAAAATAATTCAAAATATGAATAATTAGAGTTTTTCCAATTGGAAGAAAACTAGAAGAATGGAGGAAAGCAAAATTTTAAGAAGTTCTAAAAAAGACTTTAATTTTATATTAAAAGGCATTCAAAAATATCAGAGAACTGTTCCAGGATGATCAGTACTAAGATATATCCTATTAATGCATATTTTACAACTACCAGAGGTATATAACTAACATTAATAGCAAACCTTGGGCATCTGGGCAAAGCCAGTGTCATTCTTAAGGAAGAGAAAGCCATATTGGCACAGCTACAGTTAATGCTAGCAATACCTGCCAGTTATATAAATTTGAGCCAAATATTTTATTTTATTTATTTTATTATTTTTTTTAATTTTATTTATTTATCTTTAGAGGGGAAGGAAGGAAAGAGGGAGAGAGAAACATCAATGTATGGTTGCCTTTCACGCACCCCCTGCTGGGAACTGGCCTGCAGGGAACTGGCCTGCAACCCAGGAATGTGCCCTGACTGGGAATCGAACTGCGATTGTCTGGTTCGCAAGCCCGCGCTCAATCTACTGAGCTATACTAGCCAGGTGAGCCAAATATTTTAAACTTAATCTGTCCCTCAAGTGTCAAAGCTACAGGTAAAAGTTCTGGAAATCCAAGGACTTGGAATACTGTCCACATCGGGCCTCAAGCATATCCTAGAGAACAAAATTCACTCAACCAAAAGATAAGGGAATCTTCAGCAAAAATTCTAGAACGCTAAATGTATTTAACAACAGAACTAGGACTAAAACAAGGCCTAACAAAAGGGTTACAAGATAAAATGTAAATATGAACATTATATTTATATAAACTTTCACTATGATGGCTCTTATTCTAAAAATTATAGTCTTAATTTTACTCTATTGATTGCCTTTATACTTAGACTTTTATACAATAACCTTAGAACCCTCTTTCTTCAGACAGCATCTATTGATTCTCACTATAAGCATCAAGTGAATTAGCTAGAAACTTCCTCTTTTTTCTGCTCAGTTTTAGTGAACAATAACATCAGTTGTCATGGGCTGAATTGTGTCCTTCCGAAATTCATGAGGTAGGTATCTGCATAGTTTTACAG